TCCACAATTTCTCCAAAAAACTAAAAACTTCCTTCAAGATCCTCGAAGTCAAACACTTCGCTCCAATTGACTCCAAAGAAGAGGAACGAAATCAGATTTCTCTTTCGAGGACGGCGTTCGAATTCCTCCCCCTCCCCTCGCTTCCCCCAATTTATTTCGTCGATATATATATGTATCGTACGTTTTAATAGCCTTATCCAGGGGATCGGATCCGTTACACGTACGCCGGTTTCGCGCTCTAAATCGTGATGGTATCGCGGATGGAACGTTACGTGGATCCTCCAGCATCAACCGCGCATCAACGCGTGCCCCGCAGATAATAAATTCGTCCGCGGCTTCGCTCTCCAATGCGGGATCCCCCTCGTTGACCGAGCTCTCCAACTTCCGTAATCGATGGATCTGCGAGGAGGGAACGATCGCGCCTCGATACGAACGCCTCGAACCCGGTGATTTCAACGCTCGCGGAGGAAACGTTCTCTGGGGGTAGGGGGAATGCTAAATAATCGCACGGATGTGACACTTTTTTCTTTTTCTTTTTCTTTTTTTTTTTTTTATTCTGTCGAAGAAATACGAGTCGAATATTTTGTTTGAAAATTGTGCGAGTATTTCTCTCTTTTCTTATTTTTTTTTTATTTTAAGAAGGTAGATTTTAAAGGAGATTCTGTGTTTTTTCTTCCCTTTGCAGCGAGATTGTATAAGTGTTCTGGGAATTCTAAATGCGATCAGAGAAGAAATGTATTCTCGTGAAAATAAAATTCAAAAGATCTTTCTTTTTTTTCAGAGGGAAGAATAATTTTCCTCCTTATGGGATTCGAAGTTATATATATTCAGTTTAATAGGATAAAGTTTTTTTGAGGAATTAAAAGAAGAATTCGACGAACGATAAATTCGATAAATTACCTTTTTTCCTTCTTCCTAAAAGAAAAAAAAAAGTATCCTTCTATCGATTCAATCTTGTATGGATACTGTTGCGTTTATGTAACTTGCGAGTTACATAGAAACTTTGGCATTCGAGATTTACAGTAACGATTGCGCTCAATGTTTATGACACACGCCGTGTGAAACGATACTATAATAGGATTGTACCCCGGTGAAAAGAGAAGTTTCGGATTAATGTTTCGGCTTTGAGCATTGCACACAAGTGGCGTACACGATGCGTAAAGTCTCCCAGTACTGGAGAAAATTGTGTCTCCGGTTTTGTCTTTACTCGTACGATTTACATTTACGCGACGTAACGAGATACATGAATCATATCCAAACGCTCTATTGTATTCGCTCTCTGTTGTTTTTACGACTTGGCTGTGTATTTCTCTTATCTGTGCATCGTTATGCACACTGTGTGCAATACGCGGAAAGTGCAGGCCTCCACGCTAATTAGGCGTACGTACCAAACTTCTTCGTAAACCCTATATCTCGTATTATATACGCGAGTTACTCGAAATTTTATTCGATTCGAGTGGAATGCGATAGAAGTCGATGAATTTCGCTCCATTCGAGATAATATTTCCTTGACAAAATTATTCGAAATACCGTTAAAATATATTTTGAAGTAATTAATATAATTCTTCGTCGATAATTATTACAAATTTCCCCTAATTTTTTCCCTTTTATTCAATCGAATATACAACGTGAAAATTTAAAATGATGGATGTTAACGCGAATATATATTTAATGTGGAATAGAGTCGAGGGGAATTGGAGACGCGTCTGGCAAGAGCGTGTCTAAGCGTTCTCCGGATTGTGGCGACGCGAAATTCCGCGTGTCACCGGTGACAAAGTGGTATGTTCACCTTTTTTACCGTGCCTCCCCTCGAGAAAGCATCCCGTCCCGCATGATCGACGCGAGTCTGGTGCCGTGCCGATGAAACCAGAAGTCCTTGATCCGTGGGCGATGCAAAACGATCGTCTCTACACCCGGAAGAAGGTGCGGTAGGTCAGCGTTCCTCCGACTTGCCTCTGTTTGCTCGCCGAGCTTTCCTCTCTTCTTTCGCACTTACGTTTATTTTTCTCTCTTTTTTTAAATAGATATCCAAGGGGAAACCATTTATATGTACCCTTTTCCTCATCCGTATGGTGGAAAAATTGTTAATCGTAATATATGGAATATTTCCATTCATATATAATAATAATATTTGTTCGAAGAAAGGAAAGATTTTCAAAAAGAAAGAAGAGTTAATCTACCTATCCTAAGAGGCGAACCCTGTTTCCCCTGTTGTTCTTTATCGTGCCCCGTTTTCCTGGAAAAGCACACACAGGTTGGGACAGGTACAAGTGTTGAAAGAATGGGCCTGGTCGTTATCTCGTGATCACCGTTGCTTGGAACCATGATTTTGCTCATCGATGATCGAAACGAACGGAACGGGTTGAACCAGAAACGTGGCCGGTGGGCGGTGTTAACGACCGGCTGTTACGAACCAGGAAGATGTGGTGGTAGGTCAGGGATATGCGGGTCCCTCGATGCACGAAATTACGACGTGCAGCCTCGAGAACCGACCTATTTCTTCCCTAGAATACAACCGTCGACCGACTTTAATTAGAGACGTTTTATCGTTTCTTTTCTCTCCTTTTTTCTTTTTACTTCCGCCTCTTCGTTCCTTCATTGTTTGGAAATTTGGAATAATTTCGTGGAGTAATTTAAAGTCTCTCCTTTTCCATTCCTCGTCCACGAAATTTCTTTACAGAGAATTTTCAGAGAAACATTAATCTCCTCCTCGAACGAAAGAGAATTCGATACAAAAGTCCCCTTGTTCGGGGACTCGAATCCTCGACGAGGGTTTCAGGCTAGATTTCCACGAGGAAGAGATTACGTCGGTGCCCCGTTCCTCCGCGCTTTCTCTCGCGCCGTCTCAATCCCGCGGCATTGTTCGCCCGCTTCTTCTCTTCCTCTTCCTCCACGAGCAGATCTTCCCACGCACGTGCCTTCTTCTGCGTGGCTCTCTCTCGTACGAGGCCCGCTGAATAATTACCAGATGAAGATACCGCCGCCTCGTGTAGGTTGAAATCTCTCTCTATCTCTCTCTCTCTCGCCTCCAGATCCGGAGAGGAGGATTTTGCAACGGTACCCAGGCCGATGACGACGAAGAGGACGACGCGACGCCTCTTGGCGGACGATCGACCCACGAGGCCCGACCCTTGCTGAACTGTAACCGCTTCCACCCTCCCCCAAAACGACGTTTTCGTTTCCCTAGGATTAGTTTCAACGCGTGGGCGTTAGTTTAAATGGAGGAAGAAAAAACGGAGAATGGAGATATATATATGGGTGATCAGTGGATGGTTTTTGAACGAGTTGGAATTCGTGATAGCAATTAGACGTCGAGTTGAGAAGAGAAGTTTGTACATTGTTGAAATTTAGCAAGGTTAAGTTTCATTAAGAGTTTCATTATTATTTAAGGGATGGTGCGTGACCAAATTGTTTTGGTTTGAAAGAAGAAGAAGAGCAAGAAATTTTTTCTTTTTTATTAATCTTGGCTGCTTATTATAATCCTCAGATTATTGGTTTTTGATTTGCTCGATAAGATATAATAAGATTCGTGTTCTTTCATTCCTCGTTAAAATTTTGGATGAGAGGAATCCTATTAAGATACGTATCCACGTAATAATAAATTTAATGAAATTACAAAGAGAAAGGTAATTTTCAATTTTCTTTTTGAAAAAAATTCGATGCAATTTTATGCCACGGAGAATATAATAGTCCATTAAACTAATAGAAAGCGAGAAAGTTATTCAAAATAGCCGTGGCGAATTCCAACGCCTTTTAATTCTCTTTACTTAGAAATTGGCATCGATATTTGACGTAGCGCGAAAAAAAAAAAAAAATAAAAGGAAAAGGGAAAAGGAAAAAAGGAAAAAGCAAAAAAAAAAAAAAAAAAAAGGAAAAGGGAAAAGGAAAAAAGGAAAAAGCAAAAAAAAAAAAAAATATTACACGTGAAAGCATAATAAAAGACGGGGAGAATATTCAGTAGTCCAACTGGCCAGGCTGATCCTTCTTTATAGAGTGGAAGCATAAAAGTAAGTCTTACTCCTCTCAGGAAGAAGAGGTGAGAACTGCGCAACGCGACAGTAGTTTACGATGATAACCTGTCATTTCGACATTTTACGAAGTGGATGAAACACGAGCGTTTTCTAAAACTGTCATTTCGTGTCTTGCACTTTCTTCTACGAAATCGAATATACATACACACACACACACATACACACGAGAAGAGAGATCAGGTCTCGAGCTGAGAAAGAAAGAAAAAAAATCGCGACGACGATTGAAACGTCTAACTTCTTCTTCTTCTTCTTCTTCTTCTTCTTTTTTTAGAAGCTTCGTTTCTAATTAACGGCCGCAGAGTGTTAATTGTTCATGGAGCCGTCTCAGTGGGGATACGCTCAGAGAGAATTCCTGTCGCATGGATTGGGCAGACTCAACGGAATTCTTTTCACTCGATGCAATAAATATATATATATATATATATAAGTGTTTCCACGAAAACGCGACAGGGTGTCATCGAAAGTGAATTCTTCGCGTTCCCGTTCTCGGGCAAACAGTCTCTGGCGAGTTTCTAAAGCTATAAAAGATACCTCCATAAAGCCACTTTAAAAATTATCTATTTTAACTTGTCGTAAATTTTATCTGTTACTTTACATGTTAATTTTCACTCTTTCTCAAAATTTTCTATTCCTTTAACCGGCACTCTTGTGTAATCTTAGTTAAACATTTGTTGTACTAAAAATGAAAAGGTCACGTTTAAAAAAATTAATCCTGGAATGGAAATTTGGAAATATATGTTTTTCGACCTAATTGAACGATTCAATTAGATCAGTTAATCGAATAGAAAACTAAAAGTATCTTGTAATCCGAAGCGTTACAAATTTCTTTTAAAATAATATTTTCATTATTCATTGTTCAACAAAAAGCCATTTCATTCGAATTTCTCTCGAACAAAAGATTCAAAAAATATATATTCATTATTTGTAATTCGGCAGAACATACGCTGATAATTTACTTTTATTTTCCAGAGATGGCAGAGAAGATGGTTCGTCCTGTACGACGACGGGGAGCTGACATACTCTGTGGACGAGCACGTGAGTCTCATTAAAAAAAAAAAAAAAAAAAAAAAAAAAAAAAAAAAAAAGAAAAAAGAAAGAAAAAAACACCGTTTATCGTAAATTCTCGATTCGTCATCCTCGATGCACACGACCAATCGATTCGTCGTCGAAATCCATTTTGCACCTGACAAATCCCTTTAACCGACCCACTACGGTTTCATTCAGCGAAAGTGATCGTTCCACCATCGAAAACGTTCAAACGTAAACAACACGAATCCCTTTCTTTAATACTCGAACGTTGCACCAACCGGAATGAGCGTTCTTTATAACGTCGCTTTATAACGTCCATAATGGCCCTTTGTGCGCGAAGGACGTTCAGATACGTATCATTCAAAAAAGGATATCGAGAACGAAAGTACGGTTGATTTATCGGTGAATTATCCTTTACAGTGTACGGTCCCCAAAACTCGTTCATTCATTCGTTCTCGTTTACGTTGCTCGAGTTGTTTCAGAAAAAGAAGAAGAAGAAGAACACTTTGGGTCTCGAGTATCCGAGACAAATTCTCTCTTGGATAAATTGTGATAACAGAATTTTTAGCTGGTAAATTAAGCTTCGACTTAAAGGAATCGGTTCCAATGAATCAGTTCGATTTGTTTCTCATTTTACATTACTTTCTATCCATCTGAATAGTGAAAATTTAACACAAATTAGTAGATTTTTTGTTGTATTCAATCATTGAAACGGATTTTTGCGAGAAAGTTAGCCAACCATTCGTAAAAAATACAGATGCGGATATTCGTGGAAAAATTATCACATCATATTCGAAAATATTCCAACTGATTAAATTGTAAATTGTTCTTGGAGGTGCAATTAAGAAATATTTGAGAATTTCTGTCGCAAGACAGCTTCTCTCTGCGCGAATCGCCCCGAGTGGCGGACAGTTATCACCGTTGGGGGAATCGTGAACTGTCAGTCCTGGAACGTTATGGCAGGCAGTGAATCAAAAGCCGCCCCTTGAAAACGGCTTCCTCGAAGTCTAGGAGCTGGGCAGAGGTCGAAGTCAATTGTAGTTAGCCGCCATCGTCGGCGCCATCAATACTATCGACAATGTCCAGGCCGGCGGAAATGGCGCGAATCTCGCGGTTAGAACCCTTTTCCTCGCTGACGTCGATGACCGTGGTTACGCCAAAGAGCGTCAGAATTGATTTAAACGAGAACCGATGGCTGTTTAAAGATCGTAAACTCCGTCTTCCGCGAATTTTCCTCGAGAACTTGGACAGATGGCGTTGATGGTAATGGGGAAAATGGCGGAAATTCTTCTCTGAAATTGGGATCAGAGATTATTTTTTTATTATTTATACTTATCAACGCTTACAGAATTATACCAAGCTATATAACGTTTATCCAAAACAAAGTATCATCGTAAAAATAATTATATTGCACGACGTGTAATTGCATTTCTATTCAGAAATCGATATCAATTTTGGAAAAAAAACACAGTTGGTCAATTTGACTTAATTTGTACTGGCAAAAACTTGTAAAAATTAAACGAATCGCGCGGATATATACGTTTATATATGAATAGGATATCGTAAAGACAGGCGAAACAAAAAACCCCTTAATAATTAACGGCCATTAACCGCATCAGCCCTTGAATTCGTGAAACTTTAGAGGAATCTCAATCGTGGGAAAGGAGTCTCGAGTCTGGCCTTTTTAAAATACACCTTTCTTTTCTTCCAACATAATCCATTACGAAAAGAAGAAAGATAGAGAGAGATCGCTAACAATAACTCTCGATCGAAAAAGTATATCGAACGAGGACTCCAAGGACTCTCCCATCATCCTGCACAATGTCTCTTCCCATAATCTGAAAATTATCGTTTCGTGCCGGTGTATCATCGCGTATCTTGGCAAGATAGCCGTCTATATTAACCGCCGATCGATATTAACCGTGCTGAACGGATCTTAAGATGCTTAAGGTACGTGGAGGATCCGATCGACGAAGATGGACATTAAAGACTCGGTTTCGCGTAAAAAATTTACACGGCCAACGCGTATCAAGATTGTCAACTTTCCTCCGTCGAACGGTGTCTATCTATCGAACTTTAACCGGATATAGCGTCTATTACAGGCTGTGGACACGCGAAAACGGAATTAAAATGATGGCGTTCGGTTTAAAGGATTGGACGATGGGCGTCGATCCATTCGTGCATGCGACAACAACTCGGCCATCTTCGAAAGACCGGATTAACGATCCAGTCGCGGTCCTTAAGGGGGTCCATTCGAGAATAATCTCGGCCGAAAAATGCGAGAAGATGATAAGCTATACGTACGGAACGTGTCTCTTTCTCTCTTCTTCTCCTGCTCGGACGAGCAGGCGGCCTTGAGACGGAATGTGAAATTGGGCTAACGGGTCCGGACTCTTGTGCATCGTTTTTGCCCACAGATTTTTACCGATTCTTCATTTTTTGTTGGAGAGAGAAAGAAAATTGGAATGTTCTTCTTTGCGAAATCGAGTTAAAATTAGTTTCGTGAATCGAATCGAGATCAGCTGATCGAAAGGAAAGGAGCATTTAACGTGAAAAAAAAAAAAATAAATCCAACGATGGATCTATTCTGTGTCTGGATTACCTGGTAGATAGCAACACGAATGAGATACGTAATAATAGTCTCTTCATGTATCGGACTTTGTATACGATGAATTTAAAATTCTCTCTTTGTAGAAAATCGAAATGATCCGTTTATTAATATTTATACGATGTAAAATGGGAGAGGAGGAGGAGGAACACGAAGAAGAAGGGAGTTTCGAAAGGAGGAAGAAACTAATCTTCGCGAAACGAGTACCACCTCAGCCCCCCTTAGCCGCCAACTCGTTAAAACGAGCATCGCCTCGAACTTTCCCTACGTTAAAAGCGGGGAAAATGGAGGCGAGAGAAGGAAATCGAAGCGTCCCGTAGCGAGCATTTATCAAGGTTGTTCGAACGGGACAGGCGTAATCGTTGGGATGGGATTGGCGCGGGCCCCAATAATCGATGGTTAATTGGAAATGGCATTTCTCAAGGGAGATGCCTCTCGCTACCGTGCGCGCTGGTTCGTCGAATGCCTCGCCTCGTATCTAAGCGAAATGGCCACCGGTGGCCAATTATGCAAATCCCTTGTTGGGGGAAAGGGATATTAATCGTTCGGATTGGAAACGATTAGCTAAGTTTCGCGAGAGTTCTTTCAATTATTATTATCGGGCGGAGAATTTTCTCTTCGTGCTTCGTGCTTCGAGGATCGAAAGAAATTGGATCGATCGATCCGTTAATTGCGCCATAAAACCGCGAAACTTTTCTTTATCGCGCTAGTCGTTCCTGCCCTCTTCCTCTTCTTCCACTTTTTTTTTATCGTCGTTTTCTTCCTCCTTCTCTTTTTCTTCTTCTTCTTCTTTTTCTTCTTTTTCCTCCTCCTCCTCTTCTTCTTCTTCTTCTTCTTCTTCTTTTTCTTCGTCGTCGCTTTCTTTCGTAGGACGGGCTCTCGAGGCGAGCCGATCACTCGTAGCGATTACCGGCCTCGCGCGCTCTACGCTCGGCTTGATTTACGCGCGCCTAATTAAATGAATTAGCCACTTGACACCGGTGTAAATTACGGCCTGATCGGGGTTCCTTGTGTTTATGTATGTTTGGATAGTGTCTGGCGTGAATTTGAATGGATAGCGGAATTCGCATCGAGAGGGAGGAATGGAAATTCGGAATGTGGAATTTTGAAAATTTCTTAATGGCGGAAGCGGAGGGGTAAGAGGATAGCGGATAGAATATATACGCTAGGAAATAAAAGTTGATGACACTTTTCATTTTGTAATCGCAAATTTGGAAAAGATAATCTCGTCAAACGGTTACCACGAATTAAAAGATCCCTTTACTCGCTGCTATAGATTTAATAATTCTAGAATAATTAAATAAAAATCCGTCCATAAGACACGAATAAAAGTTGATGACACTTTTCATTTTGTAATCGCAAATTTGGGAAAGATAATCTCGTCAAACGGATCCCACGAATGAAAAGATCCCTTTACTCGCTGCTATAGATTTAATAATTCTAGAATAATTAAATAAAAATTCGTCCACAAGATACGAGACTCAAATACATCCTATCTTTGGCCGAGGAAGTTGGTCAGCTGGTGTTGTTTACGGTTATTCGCAATTAAACGGTGCTCTAACGGCCGGGCACCGTTACGATATTAACGCGGATAATAATGGACAGAATCGTAGGTGGAACAAAGGCGTCCTTAATGGCCGCGTTTTCCTCCCGGTTATTATTCCACCCGCTATTAACCGTGCACGGTTCATTAACATTTATCGGCGACGCAACTGTTGTGTTGTCTCGCCGATGGCCGATGGCTATCGTTTAATTGGGGTCAACTGATTAACTCGCGTTTAGACGAACAACCATCCGTGTAAGACAGTTCTGAGGGGACGAGTCGACGGCGGCCTCCCTCTTTTCCTATTGTTCGCCGTTGCCTGGTATCGATCTCGTCATCTCGACGTCATCCCGTGTTCCCGCAACGTTAGACCCGTCAAAGACACGTCCCCTAATTAGTCCCCGCCGATTCCCTTAGGCCTCGATCTCGATCGACGCGAAAACGGCACCGTGAAAACGAGCCAAGCACTTTTGTTCAACGATTTGCGCCATTAAACATGGCTGCATGCCCCCGCCGCGATCTTTGCGCCTCCTTGAAGAGGTGGAAGGCGTTGCTCGCGATGATGCCGCGATAAGGGGCACGGTTTTGGTATTTAAGAGGCTTTCGAGTGTCGAGGAGAGATATTCTAGTTAGGGCTATTCTAGAATTATCGTGCAAGTTTGAATTTTCTTTCATTCGAGATTGGATAAATCTTCATTCGTTGGAGTCTTTCTCGAGCAAATTTCCAAATCTTCTTTCGTAGCGTTTTCAATTTTTCGAGGTGTCTCGTTTCACGCTTTTCCTTCGTCTACATTTTATATGATATAACGAATAAACTCGTATAAAGTCGGATAGTTAGTTAGATCGATGAGTATT